ATATCTCGTTATTGAGATTTCTTGCTGATTAACTTGCTTACTTGTTTGCTTACAGAAAGCGTATTTTCTCAGCAATGCCACAACCAATTTGAAATCTGTTTTTTGAAAATGATGTAAAATTTTAGGCACAAACTTTTCTTCTGTGACCTTTTATAACCAATTTTGCTTTGTTTTCTCACAAAATGCGAAAAACTGATTTTTCAATCTGAACAAAACCAATAGATTCACACGTGAAAACGGTGTGAATATAAAAATCTCATATTTAACACCAAAAACGGTTGAATTGTTCGTAATTAGCGAACATGCTCAACTCCAGTATTAATGACCTTAAGGTGAGTTTTAAAGGAGTTTTCATTATGTCAGCAAAGCCGATTAGAGTGGCGCTTAGGCTTAATATGAAGATTATAATATCAGCAGAAGTCGTAACCGCTCTTTATTTATAACTTCAATTCTTCTTTTGAAATGTCAAAAATAAATTACAGATCAATTTATTCATAAAATAAACACATAGGCTCGACTCGAAAACGTTATTTACACTTATAAATTTCATTGTGTCAGATAAATTTGTACATGATCTTCATTTGAAAATTTATACTCACTGAATGCTCTATTTATCAAAATATTTTTAGGATATGCGTGCGTATAAATTTAAATAATTATTTGAATTATTATCGTAAGTGACGTTAATCAATTTTTCATTATTCACAATACTCGTAAAGTTCCCTTCTAATGTTGTGACATTTTGTAATTGATAGCTTTCAGAATATTCAATAATCAAAATACATTTATGTAAATTAGAAGTTCTATTATCATTGATGTAATTCATAATCGTGTACGAGATAATAGACATCAAACTACAAATATTTTTTTTTTCGTATTTATTACTTGTATTGCATATTTTTAGGATACCGAAATGACAAACGTTCGAGCATGCATGAGAAAAACATACTGTAGAAAATGATAAATGATCCTTGGATGTAAAGTATACTGAAGCATTCATTCCCTTTCGAATATTATTTTCGGGGGAGCATTTTTTGTTGGAACGGAATTATTTGGAACGGATTTTTTTGGAAAACAGTTATTTGGAAAATAATTTTTTGGAAGTGAAAATATTTGGAACGGAATTTTTTGGAATTCTAAGAATTTGGAAATAAAATAATTTCAGATAGAAAAGGTTACAAAACTTAAAAAAAAATATAGAAAAATCTGTACTCGAATCTTTGATCATGGTATAAATCTTCTTTAATTGAAAACGATTCTAAGGTCACTGGTTCAAGAAATTCAAATTAAAATTTAAATATAAATAAATTGATTTGAATTCCATAAGTCTGTCGTTGTCAACGACATTCCTTATATATCCTATTGCCATGAACAAAAATATAATAAAAATACTCGAAATGACTAAATTAGATAGTCTAATGAAGATTTATTAATTCATGGTCAAAGGTTCGAGTACAGATTTTTCTATATTTTCTTTAAGTTTTGTAACCTTTTCTACCTGACATTATTTTATTTCAAAATTCTTAGAATTCCAAAATATTCCGTTGCAAATGTCTCCACTTCCAAAAAATTATTTTCCAAAAACGGTGTGAATATAAAAAAATTAGATTCCAAAAATTCTGTTCCAAATAATTATTTTCCAAAAAATAAAATTCCAAAAAATTCTGTTCCAAATATTTTCACTTCCAAAAAAATATTAACCAAATAATTGTTTTCCAAAAAAATCCGTTCCAAATAATTCCGTTCCAACAAAAAATGGTCCACCTTATTTTCTATTAAAAGCTGTTGATTCACTCCTTTCTCAGCCGCCTATACACACGAGGGTTAACATATTTTTTTCCCAATTTATTATTTATTAAGTATTTTCAATGAATAACAATTGACTCACTTCCACTATAATCTGTTTGCTACTTGTACCAATTTCACATTTCACAAAAGATTTAAATTTGCTATTTTCGAGAGGGTTTATTCCCATTTCGAGTCTAAACATTGGATTGAAAAAATTAAAAATTTATTCAAAAAATTAGCTTGACAAGATTTCAAAGTATTTTAATCCTTAAAAACAATTTTTTGTTGTTCACTTAAGTAGATTATGTGGTTGGCAGTGGCACTGTAAAATACAATTAAATCAATGCCGAAAAATGCAACTGAAATTGATTGAATGCAACAAACGGTACATGATAATCACCATCATTGTGTATGCAATGCCATCAAATTATCAGATCGTTAAAATTTTTACACATTTTTTATACTTTCTCATGCAACATTCGCCTTGTAATTATGCTCTTATCAATTATATTCCTTTTGACATGTTGATTTTTACAGTCCCGAAAAACAAACAGCTCATCTTGCTTATGTACACAAACATCTTAAGCAAGAATGACACAAAGAGGGAAAATGAAGACATCAAAAATAAATGTAATAATAACTTTATAGTTTCTGGGAGAGTGGCCAGTTGTGAAAAATAAATTAATTATATGACACTACAAGATGCCTCAAATTTTCACATTACTGGCAATTTACATTGCCATTGCATTCTGTACGATTCAGTGGAACTGAAAAAAATTCATGTGTTGATTTAATGTACAGTTGCGTATTTTGAAACGGCTATTAATGAATTCTTTACCACCTGTTTGATGACGACAATGCACGTTCGGTGACAATGTTCTTACTTATACACAAAATGTAGGTGAATGGAACTTCTCTCTTTTTATTGCTACCTTGTTCATTCTGTTCTTTCCTTCTTTTTTTCCTTTAATGTCGATTACCATTCAATTCATGCACTCATATTCGTACACGCGTTTACTGCATATCCGAAAAATGCGGGATTCATCAGCTGATGCTTGATACTTTTATAACTTTTAATTGCATGCAAATTAATTTGTTTCTAGAAATTTAATTTTTACCTACCAAAATAAATAGATAAGAGCAGTAGTAAGCACGAACAATTAGAGTACGAAAAATAAAAAAAATAACAACAATGCTCAATCATTAAGGATATCAAAAAATATTTAGTAGAACCAGCAAGAACCGTAAAAAAGACAATGAACGACCCTTGAAGAATCTTTTTACCTGCTTCTATATCTTTAGCATTACTGTAAATTTGTCGAAAGTGTGAAGACGAATATAAGGTTTTTGAGGTTTTAATGCTTGTCTCAATGACTTGATTTGCTTGCCATGTTTAAGTAAGTACGGTTTTATGACACGGGTCATTTAAATTAACTTACATTTCAATATTTTTTATGGAATTTGCTGAGGTTCCTTTTGACTATTCGACTGCAATTTTGGTTGAAGTGTTGCACCTTGATATGATAGATTAATGACAGTTTTATTTAGATTCTGCATAACTACAACAAAAGAAATGTGTAAAACTGCTATGCTTGATTATTTGTGCATTAGTTAAATTAAATTGGTGATTTTGTAGGATCAAATCTGAACAGACCAACAACAATGGCAAATGAGTTTATAATGCAATTTCTATATAAATAAATTAAAAAAGGCACATCCATCAGTTTAAAGATCATGTTGAATCAATGGCAGATGTTCTAAATATGAACTACAATCTGTAAACGCACAAGCACAAGAAGAAAAAGAGCTCTCAAAAATTACATCAAAATATTTGGACTTTTGCTTAATAGACACTAGACAATATTTACATTATTATATAAATTAAAATCCTTTATGACCTTCGACGCAACTTCTCACGCCCTGCCAATTGATCCGATTTCATTTGGGTTAAATTCCCACTCAACAGAAAAAATAGCAATAATTCACTGACAACCCTCAAAATTGTGTATTAAAAAAGTTGAAAATTTAAAAAATAAAACGACTGCGCAACATCATCAATTGAATGAACATTAACAGCAATTACAGACTCATATTACATCCCTTTCATATAATTCTCGATTTGTTTTCCGGATGTATTCTCGTAAATGTGAAACAAACATCGATATTTGTTCACACAAAAGGAACTAAAATGTGATTGCAGCAATTTATCTCTTCACATATGTGCCATGCCAAGCTATAAAAGATGAAAAAAGTTAAATTCAAAATTCATGAAAGCATAAATTGTTGATAATGAAGTTAAACAAAGGATAAATGAAAATTTTTTAAATGCTTAGAAAGTGACAATAAATGCAAATTTCAAGACATGCCACAAAATATGTAAAAGAGATTTTTTAATAAATTCAGATAAATCCAAAACATATGTGAGATAACTTCTTTATCAATTTCCTCAGTTCTTTGCATGTTCCAATGCAATTGTTTGTCACGGAAGGAACAATTCCCTTGTTTTAATTTTCGTATTTGCTAATCACATCATTGAGATCTCTTCAAACGGTCACAAAACTCTGCAGGAATTTTCCTCTTTATTCACTCTACTGTGTGTATATGAATGATGATTATTCTCAAGCTGATGCACTTTTAAGTATCGAAATAAAATATACAGTACATATTTCATATAAAAATTCTATGGATTATGAACATTTCTAGGAGGGGTTGAAATTCAATAAAAAGGCAAAATTTAGAAAACAACCGCATTGTTGTGTGATCATAAAGAACTATTCTTATATGAAAAAAATAACATTATCAAATTGCTTTTAATAACCACTTCAGAGCGTTTTCATAGTTTCTAGTCTTTTTATATCTCACACTCAATATCTTAAAATACAATATTGTTTCACACTGCGTACAACAAGGCACTTATAATTCTTACAATGAGAGACAATTACAAGCGAAAATGTGTAATAACTTCAATAATTGCAATAAAGTGTAATAAGCGTAAAGTAGATAAAAATTTCGATGACTTGTGTGACGAATCTAAAACGTATAAAAATTGAAATTTGACAATAATTGTACGCCTCATTCATCATCATTCGTTCCTGAAATTTCTGATTATAAAATAAAATAAAAATATTTTTGATTCATTTTTCTGAAGCTTTTACGAAATTCATAGATTTTATTTACTGACTAGATAAAGAAATTTTGAATTATGTTCATAACAAAGATCGAGAAAAATAAAATCAGAAGGCAAGGGATGAGGTTAAGCAGCTATAATTAATTACCATAGCATGCAGTGTTGATAAACAAACTCACAAAAAAAAATATATAAAACGAACACATTAATGTTAAAAGTGACAATAATTCAGTTTAAAAGACGTTTTGGATATGGAAGGTATGCGAGACTCCCACAATCATTCAATTCATTGAATATCTCGATATCTATCCAAAATCCAAAGAAACTTATACCAAAAAATAATCAGCTAGCTTTACTTAATTATAATTGAAACTTTAAAGTCCACTAAATACTTATTGGTGAACTTTATGACTGCTTAATTCTACTTCCATGACATCAAAATGCGCACTCGTATTGCGGCACAAATGAAACATTCTCTTCAGCATAATTGTTGATGTAATTGTTACCAGTCAAATTGTTCTGTATTCTATATTCACTAAAATAATTAATTTGTGGATCGTTGGTGGATAAATAATCACTTTTTACATTACTTGTGTACTCTAGCGACGGATTCATGAAGAATTTAGTTTCGTAATTGTCAAACTGCTTTCCAGTAAAAATATTATTGTTATATTCTGTTGAATTGTAGGGATTAGCAGCCATATAGTTATTGGAATCAAAATATTGATAACCGTCTTCAAAAAAGCTAACACTCGAGCCACTTGTGAGGCTCATTGTGTCATCGGCTTCTGGATAGTAAGGTATAATCGACTCATTTTTCACTAAATAATTTCTATCTAGATCCAAAACTGTTGATGGTGACTTAGAGAAGTCTTGTGCCATTGTGTACTGCTTAATAGGTTGATCCAGCTGAAAGATTTCTTCAGCATTAATAAATTCATTTGATGAGAAATCTGGCGAATATTGTTGAGTCATGTCCTGACAATTCAGTGATGTTTGATATGTTGTATTGTACGAACTGTTCATATTCGACTGTCCATTTTGAGAAAGTCCATTATAATTGAACTCAAATTTGTTACTATTTTGTAAAGTCTTCAATTTTTTACTCAATGCAGCATCTCTATTCAGCATGAGCGATACACTCTTGCGTTTTCCCATTCCTAAGTATCTTCTCGTTTCTCGACAATTTTTAGGCTCTGGTTTGGAATGGTCATGAACACCTTTAGCTTGGAAAAATACTCCAAATTTTGTATGACGCCAGAAGTGCGTTACCGGATATCCACAGTGTCCACGACATGCTTGAATGTCAAGTCTTCCACTACAATTTCTATTCGGACAATTTTTGCCTTGCTGTTTTCGTCTTGCTTTATCACAAATGGCAGGACGAAGATTTATTTTCGATCCATTTGGCAGCGTACATTCAGCAGAACAAACTAAAACTCCCAAGCAACTTTTCTTCAAAATATTTACGTTGTGATTATTCGTATTTCTCATTGCCCATCCAGATGAGTGCTTTTTAGCTTCTTCATTATTTGGATGATACACAAAACGACAGTGACCATCAGGCCAGTCTTGATATTCATTTAATTCAGCTTCACTTATTGCCGGCACAATATTGTCGTTTATATCCCAATCGCGCAACATTTTTTTCTTTTTAATTTTTTTTTAATAAAACTTTGTTTTTCAAAATATAATTTTATTTTATTTGCATAAGACTTAAAATACGTCTGCACGGTTAGAGAGCAAGAACTCGAATGATGGACAAAATTTATTTTTATTTACTCAAAGGAAGATAGAGTGTAACATAAAATAAAACAAAACACAAATACATAGACAGCAGCATAATCGAGCATAAACATTCACATCGCTTAACATATAAACACACATAAGAGGACGGTCTAAAGCTAAAAGATAGAAATGAAACTAGCTCTCTGATTGGTGGGATAATTTTGTGACGTCATGAATTAGATTTTTCTGTGCTTTAAAAGAAGTGTTTTTATGTTATGTGAGAAAATATTAAAGCATCTGAAATTGTCGAGAGTTCTAAAATGAGAAATTCAAAGTTGATAAAATCATTTATGTTGAACCGCAGGACAACACAAAAGGTTATGAAAAGCCACGAGGCAACGTCCTGGTGGGTATTAGATCATTTATTTTAAATGGATATCAATATTGTCTCAAAAGATTTTCAAGACACCAAGTTTAAGACAAACATATGGTTTTAAATTATATCTTTGTGTCAACCTTTGATTATCACCTTACCTTGTGGTTACTTTTTAATGTTTTTTTGACTTTTATGTTCGCAGCAGATGTTGAGTTTAAAAACAAAATTCAGTAAAACGAGGAATTTAATATTTATTGACAATGTAAAGATGTTGTAATAAGCTGCAAATTAACTGTTAATTTTTATTTTTGTGCTTTAATTTGGTACAGAATGAACGATTTGAGATAGGGAAGGAGTCTGAGAGCTGGTAAACTAACTAATATTGTAATGATACTACAAAAATTCAAATTACCCCCTAATGAACATAAATGAAGTAAATTTTTGAATTATTAAATATAACAGTTTTTCACATTTTTCTCCTAATTATTATGTAAATATTAAGGCTTCCTTTTTACAATTAAAACATAAATTGAAGAACAAACCATCCTAAAATATTCTTATACAGTTAATTAAAATTGAAACCCGCATCCTCATTTTGATGTTATAATTATTTATTGTATATAAATGTGTCTTCTTCCTTTCTTATATATGACATCTTCTATGTTATGATAATGCTTTGCTATTTGCATTTCCTGAACACCTGAAAGATCATTTGAATTTTCCCACCCGAAAATATCCTTTGAATCTTAAATAACTTTTTCATTAGGTCAGTTTGGTTCCAATCGCTTTCACACGATCACGTCATATAGATAAGACTTAAGGATATGAAGAGGGGTTCAATTTTTCATTACTTGATTTATGTTTTTGACTTTATATATGCTGTATACTCATTTGAGTTACTTATATGAGTTCAAGAACCCATTACAACCATATTTGCTTGCGATCATCTGCTTTTCAATACATTATTAATTTTTCACAATAAAACAATTCATATAGGAAGATCATAAAATTTTATGTTTGCATTTACATAGAACAATTGACGTGAGAAGAACAATGCAAAATAAAAATTGTGAAGTGAAATTCTAGATGAGTTTTAAACACACAAAACCACAAAATGCATGCTCTCTATTTCTATGAGTATATTAAAGTACCAAAGACTGACAATTGTCCATTCATAATAGACAATGAATGTCGTCGCAGGGTGCATCACATAAATTAAGAAGAAATCCTTATTGCATATGCACAACAAAAATATAATTCATGAAATGCATAAATTAAAAAAAGAACTTTTGTTGCTTTTAATGCATCCACATCTCATCATTTGTGTCAACATTGACATCCCTTGTCTGTTTGTTCATTACCAAGTAAATAGATTTTGATCTTCTTTGTGAATGTGAAACATTAAATTTCGCACCCTCAAAAACCCCGAATAGTTAATCCTCAATTAAACATCAATCAAATTAACAGTCTTTGCCATGAAATCAAACGGACACATTTTTTCATGATTTTTTTTTTAATGGGACTCGTTCACGAGCGTTGTCTAGATACGATAGACAATAAAATGAAAGACGTTAACTCCAAACACTTCGCCAAAAATTGGTAAACGTCACATTTTTCACATTTAAATGTTCCCAAAAGAATCGGGTATTTACGATTATTTCCTCCCTTAAATGTTCTTCTTATCACAGCTAATTTATCTGCAGAAACGAGGAGCATAAAAACATACACAATAACGTTTCATTAAGCAATGTTTTAGAGTTGGTATTACCCGCAGGATTATTTGTCTATTCATGGGAAGCATTTTGTCTATACCCAAAAAAGTTATTATTACCATTTGAGAGAAAATGTGTGACTGAAGTACGACGGCATGAAGTGTCCAATCAATTTGAAACTTTACCAGAATTAAGTCCATATTACGTCCAATTGCGTCCACCAAAAAAAAATAATTGTGTCCTACTTCCTGTGGCTGGATATAGCAGGTTCCATTTTTGGGAATTATGCCTTCGTACTTCAGGTTTTAAAACGGCATCATTTCCAAATGTTAACTTTATTAGACATATTATACATCAAAATTGATCTCTTAATTACGTCCAATTGCGTCCTGCAAAAATTTTTGGAATCGGATATAACCAGCAAGAGTTATGGACTGTCAAAGTTTTGGACAGTACTACTTGTGGACCAATATTTTTTTGCCCAAATCCTATCATGCTATATATCAAAAAACGTCTACTTTTCCTCAGCAGCTTAAATCTGATGGAATTATTTAAGTCCAATTCATTTTGGACCTATGGCAGTTCCAGTTCCATCTCGTACTTGAATATCACCAAGTGTTCAAAAGTTGACTAGCGGCATGTTGTATATCAAAAAATATCTTTTTTTTGTCAGTGTTTCTAATCTGACGGAATTATCTTAGTCCAACCTGTAGTTTTGGACATATGGCAGTTTCAGTGTATTTTAACCTGTACCTGTATGTATCGAAAGTTTTACTTTTACCTGTCAAATATATATTTTGACAGAGATTGTTATTACTTTATAATCTCAATTACAATATTATAATTTTGGCTGGTTATATCCAATTCCAAAAATTTTTGCAGGACGCAATTGGACGTAATTAAGAGAGCAATTTTGATGTATAATATGTCTAATAAAGTTAATATTTGGAAATGATGCCGTTTTAAAACCTGAAGTACGACGGCATAATTCCCAAAAATGGAACCTGCTATATCCAGCCACAGGAAGTAGGACACAATTATTTTTTTGTTGGACGCAATTGGACGTAATATGGACTTAATTCTGGTAAAGTTTCAAATTGATTGGACACTTCATGCCGTCGTACTTCAGTCACACGAGAAAATGAATGCAATTAATTGACACTGATGGGAACAAAAAGCAAATAGTCAATTCTTTATTTGTATGCTTAAAAGAAACGTTTTACTGATTCTTATCAGCAATTCTCTTCTATGAAATCGATCCCATGCTGCGACCCGTTCCTGATGTGTTACTTTTTTTACGCATTTTCTTCACCTGAGAAACTATAAATTACTACCGGAGCTGTGTGTATAACCATTTAGCATTAAGTTATAAAGCAATTGCGATAAAAATCATTGACAATTGTATTACAATAATTATAGTTATTGCGTACTTAATTCATACTTATTTTTTCTAAAGGAGCTCTGTTTCCTTCATCTTGATATGAGTATAAAGACATTAAAATTTTTGTGCTGTGTAAAAATGCGTTAAGTATTTGACAATATTTTTTGCAGATGCAGGCTTTATTTATTTTTTTTTTTTTTTGAAATGTTTTTTTGTAGCAAAATATGCTGTTGTTATCATTTTGTCGTTACCTGCGTGATAAGAAAAATAAATTATTTGTAAATAAATGTTTAATTGGTACATTGATACGGTATTAACACAATGAACCAAAATCTTATCATTTTTGCATTTTTGACAAAGTGAATAGGAATAACGTCGCACAAAAGTGAAGATACTCTGACGGTAAAATATTTCTAAAATATATCCAAAAATTACCAATACCTTATCTCGATTGAAAAACGCTCTTCCCAGCCACAGTATCACAACAATTTCCTTAATTTTTGATGTACACAACCATTAAGATTGGATTATTATTGCTATAATCCTCTTAACTTCTATTTAAACAGATGAAAACAAAAGGATGAAAAAAGTGAACATTTCAGGAGGGTTCATCATCATTCTGTCAGACAATATTGTTTGTCATGTTCGTGCTTTCATTTATTTTTTTTTTTTTTTTCATTTTTAAGTCCCAACTGATGACAACCAACAATTCTATTTATTTGTAGTTCACAAATTAAAAAAAGAAGGAAAGATGAGAGCAAATTCGTATATAAATATCATCCTTTTGTAATGATGAAAGCAAATAGAACATTAAACACGAGTAGAACAAACAATATGAAATCTGATACTATTTCACATAGCTTGTTTCTCTTTACATACATACTCTTTACACAAAGTACAAATTGATGATCCAGTTTACAAAACGGATTTTCGAACATAATCAAATCAGACAAAATGCGGAGTGTGAGAGATTTAAAAGAATTCTTTTGTTTTTGAAAATATATAAAAATCGCTCGCTTTTGTTATGCATTTGTGAAGATCATTGACACATTCGGACGACAAATTTTTTTTTAAACCATAAAACCACGGACGAAAAAAGCTATCGTAAAAACTATATTTTTATGTATGTAAAAGAATAATTGCAACTAGCAAAGCGTGACTATCTCAATTGCTTTAAATGCAGTGGGTGATGTGATGATGATTCTTTCCATATGGTATTACGTTTCTAGCTCGTGTCGAGGTATTTAAATTTATATTTTGTTGCTTCTAGCACGAGCCATGTAGTAGAAATTTAAATTGTTTTTCACAATTGTGTTTTAATACTTTTACGTTTTTCTGATAAAACAAATTTGCATTTTTATTCTATTTAATTTTTTCCCCGTTTTCGGAACTTTTAAAACAACATATGGAATTTTTATTGTATTTTTAAAATGAATAGCTTAGCTTAATTTGAGTATAATGAGATGATGTTTTTGAATCACTTTTTCTTTAATTTTAAGTGAAACAAGTATGATGAAGCATACCTGCCATTACGTCAA